TCTGGGAAATCAGAGACTCAAAATACCAGTATGTGTCATGGTTTAAAGGAGATATAAATGAAGTGGGAGATTCTAATGATATTTTCTTTGGAAGAGGGTTCAAATGGAGTGGGGATTCTAACCATGTGATCTCTGGAAAGGAAGTTCAAATGAAGGGGAGATTCTAACCATATGTTCTGGGAAAGGAAGATTCAGATGATGCATTTGGGAAGGGGCGACTTAAAGGCTGTTACACAGACTTAACGGAAATTAATACTTTGATTTATCTTTGAGAAGAGGAAATTCATAAAGAGGGAAAATCAAATGACCCAGTACTGGAAATGATAAGACTCGGAAAAGGGGGCTCAAACATGATGAACCTTAGGGAAGGGAAGACTTTGTACCGAATCTATATGATGCTTTATTTTGATGAAAAACTAATCTTTAATAGGTGTCTTTGAAATATTTTGTATATATATATCATGTTTATGTTTAACTTTACATTTTCACTTCAATTGTAAATAATTCGTTTGTGGTTAATGAAATTTATTATATATATTACAAGGAAAGTTTTTTTAAGTTGTAAGAACTTGTAACTAATTCTTTTGTGTGAATTAAAATATGATCAAAACAAACAAGAAAAATTAAAGCTAGATATAAGAGTTTCTGCCAACCAGCAAAAACTTGTTTTCCTAACAAAAGCAAGATTAATACTTACACATTATTGTCTCTTCATTTGACTGAAGAGTTTTTTCTCTTTTCTGTAACAAGTGGGAAACTAAGAACATTGTAATGAATAACACTTGCTGCACATTATATGTAATGTGAAGTATACAAGCTCTTTACACGAGATAGTAAAATAACACTTACACTTGTACAATATAAGTCGCTTAAATAAGTACATAAACAGTACTGGTATATACTGGTTAATTAAAAAAAATACCAAAAAAATAATTTCAAAACATACGACTTTTTAACGTTTTATTTAATCATACTCCTTTATAAATGAAATCGGTTTTTAGGGATCACAGACAGCTGTTTTTGTTTACTGGAACTCGTAAATTTACTTTTCTTGTCCTTGGATAATTGCAAAATTATTCCTCAGAAACATTCTGATTGTACTCACAAGTACTTTGTAGTTGATATAAAAAGATACTTAAGATTCTGATTAACGATATCTCTGTAGTTTCAAATATTTTTTAGAGATGGTCTTCCAACAAACTATTGGAATTTCTATGGGTACCAATTATACCCCGTTATCAGCAGACCTATTTTGTACTCATATAAAGCAGCATTCATTCAAAACCTCATACCTCATTTGATATGGCCCTCAACTACAGATTAGATAACTAGACATTTTAATCATTCACAATTTTTACTTCCATTCATATGTGTACTCGATATACCCTATGTACTTGAAACTAGAGTTAATGTGAGCAATGAGCTCACTAAACGATGCCCCCGCCTCCCATATGAATATAATGGCAGTATCAATGTTTTGCTATGTTAAACTCAAAAAAAATATGTCGGATCAAAAAGTAAAATAAGAAGTACACAACGGCAATATGTAATTAAGACACTGTGAAAGTCTTATCAAATTTCATTCAGTGGTATGAGTTGTGGATAAGAGATGGCTACCCCAAAGCCTATCAGACGGAGGGACAGACAGACGGGCGGGCGGACATCCCGATTACTATATACCCTACCACTTTTCAAGTGGAAAATAAAAGAAAAGGTACCACAGAGTCGTAACAATTTTCACCAATTCTTGATTACCTTCCTTTTATAGGTATCTCTTGGAGTCTCTGCTTTCAATAAACTTGAATCCTCTTTGCTCAAGGATGCTTTGTGTCAAGTTTGCTCCTAATTGCTCAAGTGCTTCTTGATTATAATAAGAGATCTAAAATGCGAAGTTTTCAAACAGATGCCAGACAAAAGGTGATTGGCTTAGTAATTCGAATGCAAAATAACAAAATGCCGTAATATAAGGCATCTTTTTTAAATTTTCAAAAATTTTCTGAAGGAGATCATACGACTTGTCTTCTTAGTTTTATTAAGTTAGGAGTGTATTCAAAAATTGTATGAATTTAAAATGTTTGAAATGGAAGGAGGAAACAATGAAGTTTTAATTTATGGAATGAATATAAATAAAAAAAAAACTATATTTACAAATATAACACACAGTGATTAAATATAAATAAAAAAACGTACATCTACATGTAAATATACAAATGCAAATATAAAACACAGTGATTTTATACCAAAAATTAAAGCCAAAAAACGAACAAAGTGAAAAAAAAACTAATAACAAATCCTTGGGTCACGACGCTCAACTTAGTAAATATGTCCGTTTGATCTTTTCAGCAGATTTTATGCCTCTCCTTAATCGGAAATTTTGCCCTGTTCATCTGTCTGTTAATCTGTTTGTCTACTTGTCCACAAAAACTTCAATCTTAGCCGTAACTTTTGATTGGTTGGAGCTATGGTTTTAATAATTTTTATGTGCATTCCTCGTAACAACTTCTCTCTGGGTTTTTATATATTTGACCTTCATGTAGACATAAACAAGTTTTCTGTTTGTCCATGCATGACATTTGATTTGGCCAATTTTAAATGCAATAAATTTTAACTCTTGCCATAACTTTCGAAAACTTGGTGCTAGGGTTTTTATATTCCAAATATATTCCTGTTTATAAGTCCTTTCCCTGGATGTCGATTTCGACCCTTTGACGTTAGAGCTGACCCACTTTAAAAAAATTGACCTGAGCCCTAACTTATGAACAGTTGGTTCTTGGATATTTCATATTTTACAGGTATACTTATTGATGCAGGTCCTTTCTTTGGAAAGATCGAGCAATATAATTTATATCTCAACCTTGGTCTTTGATATTACCTTACATGTGAGAAACTTTTATCTTTGCCATAGGCTGTCATACAGGGGCATTAGTGTTTCACAAACACATCTTGTTTCCAGTATCTTCTTATATAGAATTAAGAAAATATATTGTGGCCGCACCTTACCCCTTTCCCCAACTTACTCCCAGGTGTCGTTATTTAACTTGAATATGAGGATGTTTCAATATACTTCATGTACATAGCTAATCATTACTGTTCTGAAGAAGAAGTCTTTAAAATAATTTTCCTACTACATAGTATAAATTCTCATGTATAAGTCTGCTTGGCCACTGTGGTCCCATCCTACATCTTGAGGTTCTGAATTGAACAAATTAGAATGTATACTACCCGACGACGCCTCAATATAAATATAGCTAACCAAGGCTTTGCTGTTCTTCAGAATAAGATTTAAAAACAAAATCCTCAAGTATTTCTATGGAAAATCTTTGATCGTTCATAGTGATCCTACCTTACCTCTTGTATCAAACCTTAAAAAATAAAATAAATGTGCACTTTCTTTCTACCTACTGTCAATATACGAATAATAATGAAAATGTTGTTTGTTTTTGAAAAGAAAAAAATTAAAGATTTTTCCTATGTATTCCTTAAAAAAACGAATGCCCCCATTGCTCCACCATACCCTTACGCATTTTGGTTTGGACAAACAACCAGTCTGGGGAAACTAAATATGACTATTCCTGACGTTGCTATTATTGACAAAAAAATTAAATATTTTCCCCAGATATCCCTACCTCTTTAAGAAGCAGGTACGGTCTTTTATTTGAACAAACTACACTCATCTTTACCCTAAGAATTTTTTTTGGCAAATTTAGTTTACTTTGACAAAGAGATTCTTTCGAAAATCGGAAATATAAAACTTTACAGCCGGACAGACATACGCCGGACAAAAATTGATCAAAAAGCTAACTTAGGCTAATAAAAATAACATGATAAAAAATAATCCATCCTTATATTCATTGGTTCGAGGATTCGGGACTCTTTGTATCCAAAGGTGGTGAATTTCTAATACTCATGGTGGGGACAGGCTTATCTGGGTAACGCTTGAGGAATTCCTCTTCCTCTGTGCTCTCTTTAATCGTACCCAACTTCATTTGGATAGAATTTCTGAGGTCTATAATGCTTTGATGTTTCCTTTCACGTATTTCAGAAAAACTCCTGATCGCGTTTGATTTTGCTACTGCTTTGTTCCATTTGGACGATTTGAAAATATTGACATTTTTTGTTTCCTTCTCCTCCTCTTTTACCGCATCAGCTGTTGGTTTCTCAAACTTCTTGATCGGGATTTTTCTGTCTAATTTTGTATTGAAGATTTTTGTTGTAGCTACTATATGAGAAATTGTTGACACACGGTGTGTTAACATTCCAAAAAACTGAATAAGAAGCAGAATTCCAAAGACAAGAGTGAAAGCGATGGAGATTGGTTCGATCACACCTTGTGTTTCACCGACACTGCATGGTAGAGGGATTGAAAGAGTTTTCTGATAGGCATTTACTTGAGTGAGGACATATACAATTGTAACAAAGATGGCGTTTGTTATAAAATAAAAGAAAAACACCTTGTTTCTAAGATCAATTAGTTCAGCTTGCATTTTTGCCTTTTTCTCATCATTCATATTCAGAGGTTTAAGATATTTTTTGATACATTTTTTCCAAAAGTCCTCTTCATCCGTTTTAATGGAATTGCATTTTCTGAAAATACCACGTTTTTTGTTTTCCTTCTGTCCTGAAGAAAAACAAATCATATTTTTATAGTCTCTGTATCCTCTACATTTTATCATAAAAATACACACACTGTTCACATAAATGTTGTATATATGTACCTTTATTTTCTGTTACTTTTGCTGTATCTTTGGAGTCTTCATTCTTCATGGTTTCGGATTCTTGAGTATTTGATTTGTTCGAATCTACCTCAACTACTAGTTCTTCCCTTTTAGATTTCCCTTGACTTTTACCACTTTCTTTAGTGTCAGTCTCCTTATTTAGCTGCTTTTCTTCCTCTGATTTCCTTTCTTCTTCAGATACACCAGGTCTGATATCCTCAATTTCGTTAAAACATAAAATACACCTGTATGGAGTGAAAACTTTTATATATGAATGAATCAAAA